TCGTCAAGAGTTATCAAACAGACAAGACAGTTGTTCCAGGGAGTCAAGACGGTCGGATCGTCAACGAGAAGCAAACTCGACGCGAACAATCGAGGGAGGCATCTCATCGCTACCGTGAAGAACCCAGAATTAAACAAAGGGGAGAATCCAGATCATTCTCTTCTCTTTTGTAATCGGAAATCCAATTGTAATTGAGAGTTGAGAGAATTGTAATCATTCTTTTTCTAAACAGTTAGAGAGAATAAAATCAAGTACAGTTCTTTTCTTATTTTCTTGTTACAAAATTTTCCACCAAACAGTATGCCAACACCGTACTGCCCCACGATAGTGCGCCGCATACACCGAAATCCTCCAGGAGTGGTAGCCATCATGCATGTACGAGTGTCTTGCTCGCATCAGGAAATAGTGAGCACCCTATCATGTGCAATATGTACGCACGAGCATGAAACTGGAGCGTCTCAATAGGGGCATCCTCTGGTATATCGCTCTGAAATGTCTGACGAAGCCACGATAGCTTCATCGCACCACTCCTCAAGTCGGGAACCTGACCAAGAAGCCTAGCACATACCTCCGGCCAACTATGATCATCGATGCCCGTAACTGCTGGTCCATCGATCCGAAGTCCAAGTATGACGGCCACGTCCTGTAAGGTGATGGTGCACTCCCCTATATGCATGTGAAAGGTGTTGGTCTCTGGCCTCCACCTCTCAATAAGTGCAGTGATGAGCGGTCAATCAAGCCTAATATATCGAATCGTCGAACACTCCCGAAATCCGGCCTGAGCGATCAGAGCTAGTACCCTCTCATCCTCAATGACCCAAGCAGAATGACTCTGGGAATGCTCGACCATCGTGATGTCTGGTACGGGCTGCACATAAAACAAAAAATATTTAAGTATATGCATAATTTAATAAATCGAAGAAATATATATAAAATTTAATCGTATTACCTGTTCCGAACCAATATGATCTGAACAATGACTCGCCTGAAGGTACAAAATGTCAGGAGATGAAGGTCCCGGATCCATAACAAAAAGACCTGTGATTAAAATATGAGCATATATACAGAAATATGAGACGCTACATAATACAAATGCATGTATGAAATGACCACAGCCTGATCGGGAACATATTACAAATACGAATACGTAAGTCATACAGAACATATTACAAATACGAATACGAGTATCATACGATTGTCATACAGGATCTTACATAGTGCAAAACGTTACATAATATAAATCAACGCCTAATACTAACTGGACACATATTTTTGTTGTGACCCGGCTGATCACATCTACTACACTTATTTCTCCTCCTAACTCCTTCACGTCCATCATCCATACTATTTCTAATACGCACGGTACGAGGGCGCCCCGCCGATCTTTTATACAAGGGAGGTAATATCCGTGGTCCGTCTAGTGTCCAATGTCGACTATCGTACGGTGGACGAAAACACTCTTTGTACATTTGTTGATAGTTGTATGCAGAATACCAAGCTGCGACAAATTCATAATGTGAAATTCGAGCACCACCCTGTAGATCGGAGTAAGCTGCTACAACATGTGAACAATGAATACATTGTAGTTGCGGTACATTGCAAGTGCATGTACTAGTGTGATCTACCAACATATTGACTTTGTAAGAGAGACTTTCTCTATGGGTTATTCCCTCGATAACCTCCCATTCATTAAAACTGTATCGTACGACCTAAAAGGACCGAGCTTGTACAATCCGAGCCGCTAGCATTTCATCAACCTTTGGTGTTAGCTCTGAGCGGATATTTTCACCAAGTTCTCGACGTCGTAGAAGGAATTTATTAAGCCTGTAAAAAGTTTTAGCAACTAGTGCCTGTATTGGCATGCCGCGTGCTCCTCTGAGCACGCCATTGAAGCTCTCAGACGCGTTCGTAGTCATCATACAGAACCGTTTGCCGCGTGCTCCTCTGAGCACGCCATTGAAGCTCTCAGACGCGTTCGTAGTCATCATACAGAACCGTTTGCCACCATCCTTACATAAAGCACACTTATCAACATTGTTTGGACCCAAACTAGTTTCGATCCAATCATGTGCAGCTCGTGAAATGAACTTAATCCTCTCTCGTATTTGTTCATAAACATATTTTTCTGCTGCACAACCGGCTTGCCAAAGTAAGTCTTGAACCTGAGCATTTCCATACTTCTTCTTGAAGTTGTCTCTAATATGTCGCAAGCAATAGCGATGTGCATGTGGTGGCGGGAAATGTCGTTGGAGGGCTCTTGGAATTCCTTTCATCCTATCGGATATGAATGTAATATGCCGCGTCCCCACACTAGGGATATGATATCTAATGCATGCAAAAAACCAAGCCCAATTCTCTGTATTTTCAACATCAACCACTGCGAATGCTAAAGGAAACAACCCGCCATCCGCGTCAACTCCGGTTGCAACAAGCAAAACGCCTTTGTATTTACCATATAAGTGAGTTCCATCAATGCTAAGAAGAGGACGTCAATATCGAAACCCCTCAATACAGGGCCCAAATGCCCAAAATACACCGGTGAACCGCCTTTCTCCGCCATCAACCGGGTCCGAAGATACTTCGTAGATAGTCCCCGGATTTTCTCTTTTGAGTGCTTCAAGATAATGAGGTAAGATCTCATACGATTTATCCCAATCCCCGAATATTTTTATCGTCGCCTTCCTCCTAGCATTCTAACACTTGTGATATGATACATCCAAGTTGGTGGCTTTATGCACTAAAAACAGATATCTTTCGGCCTTAGATCAAGATCCTCCCTCAGATGCGGTAAAATCAATCGATATATAAAAGAAAAGGACGCATTCTTGTTATTCATCTCTAATCGAGGATTGCTACAAGTGTGGAGTCCATTGTATGCCGTGATTTTGAATTGCCCGCCTACTCTTACACCCGAGCGTGAATTAAGCTTCCACGGACACCTCGCATTGTCGTCGTGGTGTCCCCTATTATCTTCGACATCATCATCTTTGCGATAGAAACAAACCACATTATAGCTTGTAGTATTATTTTTTGTTGGCCTGAACTTCACATTTTTGTAATGGAATACGTGCGAATAGCATGGATTAATTTCTCCTTACTCTCGTAAAGATCTCCCTTCATGAATAAGAAGTCCTCGGCCTGTGTATCAACACCGCTATTAGTGCCAATAGGAACACTTTCCATCACGGAATTATCAATCCATTCATCTCCTTGAAGTTCATCGGGCGGCGGATCCTCTAAGACGACATACTCATTATTAACATAACATCCGTCAATGTGTTGGTTTTCCCCGTCATCACGATCTATCAAGGTCATGCTATTAATTTGTAATCCCTCCTCTTCATCATCATTCTCGGATTCAACACTTGCATTATCTTCTTGAATTCCCGTGTTAGTATCGAAAGCATTCGAAGTGCCCACGAACGAAGGACCGCTCATGTATTGTGATTGTGTCCAACATTCATCTTGTTGAGGAGATAAAAAGCCTACAGAATCAACTTCAGGATCCTCCAACATGCGGGAATACATTCCTTGGGAGTTCAACGATTTGCCCAAATCCCTCTGATGTTTTTCAATGAACAATTCGACCGAACGCTTCTCGTCGTGTAAGACATGAATGAGACCCATATCGTAGTCACTTGATATTTGAATGCCACTTGTTTTGTTCCCCACAACAGGATAATTGCAAACCATACAGAGGTGATACTCACGTGAGTTAGTTAATGTAAGTTTGTGTAATTCATTAACCAACTCATCGAAAGTACACGATTTTGTTATGAACAACGGTCTCGTCGCGCCTCCTTCATAAACAGGCATATTATTTTTGAGGTAATTGATCTTCCCATCATAAGAACAGAGAATTATGATTCGATCGTTCATCGTTAACTCTGAAGAGTGAAAAATTCAAGATCAATATTACACGAAAAGCAAAATAAATATTGATTGTTACTAATCTTTACATTTAGGCAGTAGCTCTAATTTCCACATTAATTCATAATTTCACCTCTAAATGCACAAAATTATTTGATTTTTCTTCACAAAATTCGTAAATAATCCACAATTAAATTCTAAATGCGAAAATTTGTCCTTCATAAATAATTCACAATTAAATTCTAAAATCTAATTAATGTCATACATATGTAGTAACACTATTTTTCGCATTAATTGATAATTTCCCCTCTAATTTCACAAAATTATTGATAATTTCCATACCAATTCCACAAAATTATTGATAATTTCCACACTAATTCTTCACAAATTTCACAAAAGTATTGATAATTTGCCCTCTAATTTTCACATTTATTGATAATTTCCCCTCTAATTTTCACATTTCCTCACAAAATTCGTAAATAATTGTGAAATTTCCACACTAATTCCACAAAATTATTGATAATTTCCACACTAATTCTTCATAAATTTCACAAAATTATTGATAATTTCCCTTCTAATTTTCACATTTATTGATAATTTCCCCTCTAATTTTCACATTTCTTCACAAAATTCATAAATAATTCACAATTAAATTCTAAAATCTAGATTTTTATATGAAATCACAATCAAATAGTGAGAGTATACAAAAATTAGAGAGTATACATTTTTTTAAAAAGAATTTACTTGTTTTTTAGACTGAGATTGAGATCTGATGTCGATCTGGTGAAGTTGCACTCCCAACTTCCAGAGAGCAGCCTGGCGTTGCATCTGGGCATAAATCTTCACGGGAGTTGAACTCCCGTGAAGATTTATGTATAAATTAAACTTCACGGCAACTCCCGTGAAGTTTAAAAATACATTAAACTTCACGGGTGTTGAACTCCCGTGAAGTTTCAGAAAATTTTTAACAAAAACCGACCTGTTTTCAGCGCTGGACTGAAAACATGTCGGTTTTTGTAATTTTTTTCGAAATAGGCCGTTTTTTGCAAATAAAAACCCAAAAGGATCTGTTTTGAAAATTTGTCCTCCCAATAAATAAAAATCCACTAACGGATCTAAACCCGTACCTCAACGCCCAGCATATAAATATCACTGTCCCAAAGTCTCCTTCGTACCCCCACTCTCATGTCCGCATTTAAATCTGATCACTGTTCGATAAAATTCCTCTGAGAGAATCCAACCCGAAACCTCGAAGGAGAGATGGCGAGTTCTCGGCGTCAGCTGAGGGCCATGCTCCGCAAGAACTGGCTCCTCAAGATCCGCCACCCTTTCACCACTCTTGCCGAGGTCTCTACCGGTTTGCTCTCACTTTTTTTTTTGGATTTTTTTGAGCTTAATTTTGTTGATGTTCGGTGTTTTTGAAGATTCTGCTGCCGACGGTTGTGATGCTGATGCTGATCGCGGTTAGGACGCAAGTGGACACGCGGATTCACCCCGTTGAGGCGTATGCTGATTGATTTTGTTGAGTTCGGGGTTTTGATGAAATTTCGTCATAATTTTGTTTTTTTTGGGCTTTTAGGTATATTCGGAAGGGGATGTTTGTGGAAGTGGAGAAGAGCGATATTTCGCCGAGTTTTGATAGTATTCTGAAGCTGATGTATCAGGAAAAGGAGCATTTGGCGTTCGTGCCGGACACAAACGCGACGAGGTTCATGTTGGATATCTTGTCTCTCAAGTTCCCGCTTCTCAAGGTACTCTGAACAAGTCTATGATGTTGCTTTAAAAATCATGACTTTGAGGAATTTACTGTCGTAGGAGTAATATTATGTTAAGTTCCCACTACTTCTCGTGGTACTTTGTACTATGCAACGAATGTTTGTGGACAATGTTAGTCATTTATCTCAAAGTTACAGAGGTAGTGAGCTTAGAAATTATTAAATTAAGCAAGGCCATGACTCCACAAGTATGTGAAAGAACAAATTTTCACTGTAGCCCTATTTTAATTTTTTATTAGCAAAATCGACTGTATCAGGTTTTATTTATCGAAATCGACCCGGTTTCTCGCCACGTCAGCGCCGTGGCGAGAAAGCGGGTCGATTATTTTTTAATCGGCTTCGTAAACAGTCGGGGTTGCCAACCCCGACTGTTTAGTCCATCCCCGCTAACAACTTAACTAAATGGTCGGGGTTGGGAAACCCGACCAATTCGTAATAGACCTATTTTGAATTGGTCGGGGTTTCCAACCCCGACCATTTAGCAGAGCCCAACAAGCGCTGGGCTCAACCACAGACGAAATGTCGGGGTTGGCAACCCCGACCATTTAGCAGAGCCCAGCAAGCATCAGGGACCAAATGGTCGGGGTTGCCAACCCCGACCATTTAGCAGAGCCCAGACGCAGGGCCATTGTGGGTGCACAAAATGGTCGGGGTTCCCAACCCCGACCATTTTGCAGACCCCATTCCAGCCCACATTCACCTAGAAACTCATACTTCCTGTAGTACAAAATGTAATCACAAATAACACATGCTAAAATACAATCATACTCCTGTTGTCAATCCATAATGCAATCACAAACACAAATATAATACGTACAATTCATATTTACAAACTTAACATTATATCAAATCCATCGCAACACAAACAACATATCAAGTCCAAATTGCAACTCAAACGCAAACATCCTATCAAGTCCATCGAAACTTAACAAATATCAACAACGCCCTTTCCCCTCCCTCTTCCTCTCCCTCTCCCTCTCCCTCTCCCTCTCCCTCTTCTTCCTCTCCCCCTTCCTCGATCACCTTCGACGTGAGCTCGGATAAGTTCCTCGTCCGGTTGTGTGTGAAGTTGGGAGTGCATGACATCCGCGTCGTCTCGAACCGCCTGTGAACATCCGGCCTGAGTCTGCTGTGAGCCGCCAGCTTCATCATGCGCACAGCTTGATCCCGCCCCCGTGTGTCCTCGTCGACGTCGCCGCCCTGTACTCAATTGGTCGCTCCTCCCGTCCATCACGGCTTGCATGACGCGTCCTCTGAAGAGCCGATCGTATCTTTTTTATCATTCGAAGGAACATGTTTCTCGGCTCCTGCTCGGTAGTCGTGCGCAATGCGTTATGTGCCATAGTAGAAAGCTCTTCGAGCTCTTGTACCTATAAAATAAAAACCGAAAGAAAATTATTATCAAGTGGATGGTGAGAAAAGAAAACTCAGAAAATAATTGTATATTTTTCTTATACACTTACCAACTATCTCTCGACTGGGCCTCTTGGTATGTACTCCTTTGGGGCTTTGTTTTCCTGAAATATCCACCGGCGAGTAATCCCCCAATACCACCGCAGGTACACACCTAGGTCAGGTGCATCAGCCCTCTCCATCACTACCTGTTCCTCCCTTAATTCCTACATATGGATGTAATTTCGGCGAATTAGTTCCCAATTAGCACGATGTGCACCTTTTCTTGGATCTCTCTCTATTCTCTCCACAAGCGCTGGAATATGTTACCGTAGTCCAAATTGTCGAAGCACACGGCCAGGCACGTGCATTTCGACAATCTCAAAGCATATAAGTAGGATGCGAGCACGCCATACATCCTCACCTTCTCGGCAAATACCTGGTAGTGACTCCAACACTAGCTCGTAGGGCATCCATTTGACCTATGAAGAAGATATTATGATATATTAATTGAATATATTTAGATATCGGTAACAATTGGTCGCATAATTGAATATATTAAGATATTATAATTTTTATACCTGTTCATCCTCCATCTGATCAAGCTCATTTCTGTAAAAGTTTTCATGCCCCTTTGGAGAGGTTTGCCAAGATCTGGACACATTCCATCTATTTTATATACAACGGGTTAGTATATATTGAAATAAAGCACGGGTTAGTATATATTGAAATAAAGCACTGAAATTACATGCATCTTAATAATACCTGCAGCCTAACGGAATATGACCATCGAGAGCGCGAGCCTCCCTCAAATCAGGTGTTCCCAAATGCAATCGCTCCCATGACCATATCTGCAGCAAAGTGAGGCAGCCCTTCAATTCTTTGTTTTGTACGAGTGCTATTTTCGTCATCTCTCTATACAAGTAGGCTAACACTGCACTCCCCCAAGATAACTCTCCACACTCTGATAGGTCCCCAAGAAGCGGTAACCATCTCACGTGCACGGAATCCTTAGTGGAATCCAAAAACAGAATAGTACCGATCATATGTAAAATATATGCACGGGCATAGCTCTTAATGATCTCATCAGTCACATCGATCGGTACATTCATAAAGTTATTCCTTAACCATTCGAGCTTGATCTTTCCCCCCTTCATTGTAGGACTGTGACCCAACAATTCTTCACACGCCCTGACATAGTTGAAGTCATCGGTGCCCGTCACTGCATCACCATCTATTTTGAGGCCAAGTATAACCCCAACATCCTGCAAGATAATCGTCGCCTCTCCTTGGCGCAGGTGGAAAGTATTTGTCTCGGGCCTCCATCTTTCAACCAATGCCGTCAAAAGTGCCCAATCAAGTCTTACCCATTTAAGTTGTGAACACTCAAAAAAGTCGGCTTGACGCACATAATATTGTATCTGTGAATCCGTTAACTCCCAGCTAGAGTGTGCACGGGTATGATCGACAACAGTAATACTCGGGGCCTGCATGTAGTAAACAGTACAAATGTTCAGTAACAATCAACTACATTGAAATTTATATATAATTGAAAATAATAAAACTACACTTTACCTCCCCGGCGTCTATCTTCGCGGATCAGTGGCGCTCTTGGTCATAAAGAACATCATGTGTTAATGGACCCGCCTCCATAACTAAAATATCTGCACATATAACAATGATCCATTAATTGATCTATAATTGAGTCAGAAAAATTGATTTTACTATAAGCATTGATTTATAAGCATTGTTTTAGTTTTTTATAAGCATTGATCTATAATTGAGTTAGAATGAAATTACAAATGTATAAAATTATACCCATTAATTGCTATCTATCTGGATTGGTCGGGCAATGAGATCTTCTATGCCCGGCTTGTCTGTAATATCCACATCTATTTTTTTTCGGAGCTCCTTCCCGGTCTTCATCCATAGTACCTTTTAAGCGTACTGATCGTGGGCGTCCGGCTTGTCTCTTATAGCTTGGAGGCACCACATGCTTTTGGTGATGAGAGCCAAATCTCCTCCACAATGCTTTTGGAATACATTTCATCCTATCAGATATGAAAGTAATTTTTCTAGGAGACAACACATTAAAAATATATAATTGAATGCAAGAAAAAAACCACTCCTAATTTTCACTGTTCTCGACCTCCACAATGGCGAAGGCCAAAGAAAATAAGCCACCATCTGCATCAACTCCTGTAGCAACAAGCAGTACACCCTTGTATTTACCGTATAAGTGTGTGCCATCAATGCTAAGAATAGACCGACAAAATTTAAACCCCTCAATCGAAGGCCCAAATACCCAAAAAACAGAGGTGAATTGATGAACTCCCGGATCGATCTCTTTGGTTATGAGTTTGTATTCAGATCCAGGATTACTTCTTTTGATCGCATCAAGATATTGAGGTAGTGTCGCGTAAGACTTGTCCTAATCACCAAATATTTTTGTCATCGCAATTCTCCTTGCATTCTATGCTTTAATATACGAGATTTTAATGAACTTGGTATCAAGCACTTTCTCAATTATATTATCGGGCGTTAGATCAAGCTTCTTCCTTAATTTTGGCATAATCAACCGCGCTATGTAAGAGGCAGATGCACCACTGTGATCTTGCTCTAATATTGGATTGACACATGTGTGAACACCGCAATATTCACTGATCCTAAATTGAAAATTGTGTTTCTTTCCTGCAAATGCATATAACTTCCAAGGACATGAGTAATAAGCTTCATTTTCCTCGGTCAAACCTGTTCTTTGTGTGTTCATAAAACATATTGCATCATAACTTGTGCGATTGCTTTAAACTTGCTTGAATTTGAAATTCTTTTCGAAAGAGTATTCACGAATAGCATCAACTAACTGGTCCTTAGTCTCGAATAAATCACCAACTTTAAAGGGGGCGTCATCATCTCCTCTACGAATTGAACTTTCACCGATGCACATATCTTTTACTGTGGAAGAACGAATCCACTCATCATCTTCAAACTCGTCGGGGGGTGGTTCTTCGTACTCAACATAGTCATTATTAACGTAAGCCTCATCAGGCCATTCCGGATTATCTTCGACATCTTGGGTAACAAATTGCATGCTATCAACTGGTGCACTATATTGTTCCTCACCTCTCGAGTCATTGCTTATTTCATCCTCTTCAATTGTTGCCCCACTTAACCTCCTCATATTTCCATAAGAGACTTCGTTATTCATGACATTTGACGTTCCACCGAATTGAGCCCGCTCCATTTCACTCGAAGAAGAAAGAAACCCATCGGAATGAACTCCCATATCTAACATGCGTGAGAATTCTCCTGGAGGTTTGAATATTTGGCACGAATTATGTGGCAACTTTTTAATAAACAATTCTACCGTTTGTTGCGACATGCCCAATTTAAACATAATACTCATATGATAATCGTTCGAGATCTCCACTGTGGATGTTCTATCAATAACTATGGGCCAATTGCATATAATTTTCAGTCGGTATTCTCGTGGGTCAATTTCCGTAACTCGGTGTAATTCCATAACCAAGTCGTAGTAACTATATGATTCCGAGATCATTAATGGCGTCATTACCCCTCCGACGTACATTGGCATATTATTCACATTGGCATATTATTCATCCTATAATTAATTTGTTCATCATAAGAACAAGCAATAAAAATCATATTGTTCAACCTATTCAAAAGAAAATTATATCATTTAAATATAAAAAATTAAATTAATATGCAAATAATCTCACATAATTTCAACCAAAAACCCTAATTCCCAAATTGTAAATCCTAAACCCTAAAATTGAACAATTGAACAATATATGCCCTAAAAGTTAATTACATCGATAATAATCATCATACAAACGAATTTCACAGATAAATCTAGCCCACGAAATTCATAACCCTAGAAATTTATTTTTAAGAAAAAATCCTAGATTTCTACATGTTAAAAGAGGAGAGGAGTAGAAGAAATTACCTAAATCAGTTTAGATAACCTTTGATTTGAATTTCGGCCGAAGAAACCTCAGATCAGAGGCGTGGTTTCGTGAGAACGGGGACGGAAGAGAGAAGAGGGAGGCGGAGAAACAAAAATGGAAAAAGGGTTCGGTGGGTTCAGCGGCTTTTATACGGGCCCAGAAAGTAGTCGGGTTTCCCAACCCCGACTACTTTTGGCCTTGGCTGAAATGGGCTTCGAATTGGTCGGGGTTGCCAACCCCGACCATTTCGTCCGTGGTTGAGCCCAGCGCTTGCTTGGCTCTGCTAAATGGTCGGGGTTGGGAACCCCGACCAATTCGAAATAGGTCTATTACGAATTGGTCGGGGTTCCCAACCCCGACCATTTAGTTAAGCTGTTAGCGGGGGATGGACTAAACAGTCGGGGTTGGCAACCCCGACTGTTTACGAAGCCGATTAAAAAATAATCGACCCGCTTTCTCGCCACATGAGTATAAATGGATGTGTAATTCTTAGATAGAATGGTGAAGTGCACGGGACCACCAAAAGCTTTACTTGGATTGTTAAATGTCCAAAACTCTAGGTGAGTATGAGATTAGTTAGCAATACATGTTAAGTATCATTAGAGTTTCTTTTGCTGATTAAAAACAACGATAAAAAACAACTAAACTTGAAGATATGCAGAAAGGAAGTCAAGAGACCTGTAATTGGGTCATGTATCATGTTCAGGTGCTATTTTGGTGTGAGGCGTGAATTTAGGCCAAGCTATGCTGTATGGGTACTTCTATCATGAATCATACTGTACCAGATCTGCACCGTACCCGTGCTACACACACTCATTTGACACTCCCTGAATATAGGCCTAGTATCTATTTAAACATGTACTCAATTATATAATACATGTTTTAATCTAAAACACACATCATACATTTCTTGGACGTATATTGTACACTTCATGTCAACTTTCTGAAACTTGTTGGATAAAGGGTCAGGTCCGTTTCATCCCATACTTAGTGTACGGCTATCATTTTAAAGGATCATATGCATATCTAGTTAAAAAAATGTGATTTTCCAGTTTATAATCTATATAACAAAATAAACATAAAAATGTTGTAGGAGTTCTAATTTTCATAAGATGTGAATGAGAAAACAAAATTGATCTCATGTTAGTTATTAACTTTTTCAATACATACATACATGCATACAATAAAGCTCTTGTAAACTTAAGTGGATGTGAGCTCTTTTCCACCAACTCTTTTATCCATTCATTTTTGCTTTGAGGTTTGTGCTAGCATGTGATGCACAATAGACATCATGACAATATTAAAAATAGCCTTGATTTATTGCATAAATCTCAAAGCAAAATCAAGGGATAAAAATGTTAGTGGACAAGAGCTCATGTCCACTTAAATTTATTCTAGCTTTACTCTCTCTCTTTACACACACACACACACGCAAACACACACATGTAGCAATACATAACATACACATATAGCCGTGTCCCTGTACCCTACCTTTTACAAATTTGCCGTATCCTGTACCTGTACACATGCCACATAGGCGCCCACTAGTATTCTATTACTGTTATATTTGGTGGATCTGCTGCAATGAGAATACTCATTAGAACGCGAGCTAAGGCATGATTTAAAAAAGCATATAGTAAACTTATCAGAGGACCTGTTAGCAAAGTGATTAACAAGGAAGCGGACCGTTTTGTTCTTTTCGTATTTTATATTATTGCTTCTCCCTGCTGGCATATCAAACGACTTGTGTTATTATGAGATTTCATTTTGTTTTGAATTCATCAGTCTATTTCTTACTGCTTGCTTGCATTTTTTTAAATCCTCTTGATATTTACATATCCTGATGGTTAATTTTATTTATTTTTTAGGAGGTTGGAAGAATTTACAAAAACGAGTTAGCTCTTGAAACTTACATCCGTTCAGAATTTTATGGCATTCATGATGCTGGCAGGTAATTTAATTCCTTCAGCTTCCTTTATTTGTAAAGCAGCCAACATATCCATATACTTGGAAGTTAAATTCTTCATGTCAATTTATAGCTGATGACCTTAACTTGTCACGTTTATATCTCTCTGTATGTGTGCGCTCTTCTGGGTGCGTGTGACTCGTCGTAGCTAACTATTGATTTTGTATTTTCTAAGTGTTGACTTTCCGAACTCTTATCTTTATCCCAGAGGTATACCATCAGATGTCAATACGATGACCTCAGAAAAACTGCTTCATAACTGGGGGGAAAAAAATCCAGTATGTTCTATCTACAAAATAGTCAGAAGCTTAAGAATTGCCATAGACAATCTTAAGAGACTAGTTCATTTGTTAATAAATGAGCAAGGGCTCAATAGGTTGTTCCCTGCAAACCACACACGAACTTGATGATGGCAACAAAAAAGCAATGAGCTATTGTTTTCTCATTTATGGTCAGCAATGGAAAGTATTTGCGGAATCAACAAGAAAGCTAAACCTTCCTATCATCAGCTCATTTTGTCCCTAAATTGTAATTTGTTAATCACCTATCTGTTTTTTTTTTACTTTTGTCTTCTTAGCTTGGAGGTCAAGTCCGGAACTTTTAAAGTTCAAGGGCAAGAAGCTTCTTTTTTTGTATCTTTCATGTTTCTCATCTCTTGAATGATACTACTAGCTGCAGTCACTACTATTGGCTCATTGCATATATTCTCCAAGTTCCTTCAGCAATATTTGCTTATCTTATTGGTTATTATATTTGAAAATATGTACATTATTTTATTTCATCCTGAAACCTAACCTGTTACTATTCAAAAATTCTATATTTGTTGGCAAGCTAATGTCTCTCTCCATCTGTTTTCAGGAACTTATCTAACCCGAAATTAAGAGGAGCTGTAGTTTTTCACAAGCAAGGTCCTCAAGTGTTTGATTATAGTATACGTCTTAATCACTCATGGGCATTTTCTGGTTTTCCTGATGTTAAAACCATCATGGATGTGAATGGACCATATCTGAATGACCTCGAACTGGGATTTAATATTGTGCCAACTCTACAATATGGATATAGTGGCTTTTTGACTGTGAGGATTCTTTTCTTCATCTTGTCTAGCTCCTCAATCTTTATCATTCTTGCTGTTAATCTTTTTTCTTTTTAACGTTGGTAAATCTAGTTTGATACCTGTAGAGAAATAGAAAAAAAAGCCAAGATATCATTCATTAACCCTAGCCTCTCTTAACTAGAGGTTAAGGGATATTACAAAATAGGTATAACATAAATCATATCCAATCATATCAACCAATATCTTAGTAGCATCTTACATATTCCTTAACACTCCTCCTCAAGCTAAAGTATGTATATCATACGTGTCCAGCTTGTTATAAATAAAATGTACACACATCTTGTTTTAAATAAAATGTACACACTAATCTGTGGCGATGCTTCAGAAAACTCAATGTAGTCTTGATCTTCTTATCTTTCACTTGGATGTCTTCAAATCAGCTAATCCCCTCTAGGGTTCCACCAATCAAATGATCCTTGAAGGATCCAATAATAAAATTTAACAACAAATGATCCTTCCTTTAAGAATCCAATGACAAATGATCCTTTTAGGATCCAACAACAAATAATCATTTTTTAAGAATTTAACAAATAAATGATTTTCTCTTAAAGGATCCAACAACAAATGATCTTTTTTTTAAGGATCTGACGAACAAGTTATCCAAGAGGTGGAGTTGACTTTTGGTTTGAGCAAAAATCAATGAGATCAATGAGGCACAGGCTGTTGAGGGCAAATGAGAGCGGAGTAGGCTCTGTCGGTATTTATGGTGAATAGTTATTCGTGGGCGAACAGTAATCTGCGGACAGGAACAGTACCGGCATATAAATAAACAGGAACCGATGAAGAGTAGCCAATGGGCAATAAATGGATGGACAAATAGTAATCCGAGGAACGGTACTTAATGACCAGTAGCTGGTGGACCGTAATTCGTTGTCGAGGCCGAATAGGGGAAGCACAAAGTTTTCGGCAAGAACCCTCTTGGCGGCTCGATGTAGACGATGAAGAAAGATGTCTCTTTAGAATCAAAAGGATGACTCAGATACCATGTAGAGAAATAGAAAAAGGCCAAGATATCATTCATCTAACCCTAACATCTCTTCAATAGAGGTTAGGAGGATACTACAAAATAGGCATGAGATAAAATCATATTCAATCATATCTCCCAATATCTCAACAATATCTCATAATATATTCCTTAACAACGTCTTCGTTGTTTTTGTTTTGATTATGGAAATTTGCATTGGAATCAAATAATCCACCATGCGCATCATAGCTACCCCCATTATACAAGTTTGTAACTAGAAACTACTGGCTTTTCTTTTCACCTTTCCTAAGCTTTAGGCTTTTAAGTTTTAACAATAGAATTTCACAAGACATAATTTAAATTTTTTTATTACCTGATGAGAACCACGACTCTGTTGAAATAATTCTGTGATTCATATTTCTGCCTTCCTAATTAGTAATTTTTCCTTATTTCGTGTATATACTGATGGAATAACTGTAATCACTTATTGGGTATATATATATTGTTTCAGTTCATTTTTCTTAATAAGTTAGCAGATTCAAATATTTTCTTTTATCATATGTGCATTATATTGCATCTCTTTGGCACTTTTATCTTTCCTATAAATGTCTGTTTTCTTCTTCATTACTGCAGTTGCAAAAGGTGGTGGATTCATTTGTAATACTTGCTTCTCATCAAGAAGTAAATATTATCAATCCTGAGAGTAAAGGATTGCCCTTGTCACATTCAATAGAAACTCAGGCTTATGTCAACCATCAGTGGACACAGTTCATTCCAGCAAACATTAGGATTGCTCCGTTTCCTACTCGTGAATACACGGATGATGAATTTCAGTCTATTGTTAAGAATGTCATGGGAGTACTGTGAGTATTACTTTTCTTCTGACGAATTCCTTTTGCATTTCTTTTACAATATGAGAGGTTTGTAAATTGTTATATATAACCCTCTTCCATTTCCTTTCATGTATAGTTATGCTTTCATGGTGGATAAGTTGTTTCCTCTGTTTAATGATGATTTATTGAGCTGACATAAATATCTTCCTCTCTGTTTATGCGTGCATGGTTAACTTTTTAGTACATACACAAATTTGGAGCTTCTACAAAAATTATTTCAGCAGTTTGTTTCTCAGCTGGAAACTTCCTACTGATTGGTGTTTGTTGTGCAAGGAACAGTTATCTGCTGGGGTTTCTTTATACGATTTCCCGTCTAATTAGCTATTCTGTCTTTGAGAAGGTACTCCAACATGTTTGATACTGAAGATTGCTTTGCTAGTGTTAATCATGTGAGATTGATAATATTGTCTAAGTTGTCAAAATTTTCAGGAACATAAAATTAAAGAAGGGTTACGGATGATGGGCCTAAAAGATGAAACATTTTACCTTTCTTGGTTTATAACTTATTGCTTACAGGTATCTCCTACTAATCTGAGACTTCAACATGCAGATACATACGCACACACATTCAAACACCTTACAATTTTTAAATGTTGAAACAGAGTTCTTGGCTTTTATATGGGTTAGCCTAGTTGCATTTTCATTTGTCATGTAAGTCTTCTGTTCTAGCAATATTTCGAAGTTCACAATTAATGAAAAGGACACCCAGTAAACATGGATAGCAAGGCTTGTCTGATTTATCAGTCAATTTCTCATTTCTCTATGCTCTCGGGCCTACATTTTGATGCAGTGAGGTGCAGCTTCGAACTATTCAAACACATTAAAATATAATTATTGTACAAAAAAACATTTACAGAAAGCTGACTTTTGTCATCTTCTGACATGAAATTCTATGAATGTGAATTAATCCAATCACAATCCCTTCAAAAATCAACAATGTTCTTCAAGTAATTACATTAAACAACTCGAGTCTTAACTTCTAATTTTGATAGAACATTTGTCAGATATCAGGATCATGTTGGATGGAAAAATTTCATTTGTCTTTATTTAGAAAACATAGGAGTGTCATATTGGTAGTCTATATATGTACATCACAGATAATCCTAACTGAAATATAAATGGAAAAATAGCAAATAATTTAAACATGAAATGTTTAGGGAGCGAACAGCGAAGAGACTGGGTGGATACAACTAAAAATAGACATCAGAGAGATAGTGAGAGATCAAGAAAGGGGAGGGGCTTACTGATGGACACACAGTCGAGAGTTAAGGGGTGACAGATAGTTGAGAGTGAAGAGACCTCGACATAAGAAAGGGTGAGATAAAGCATTGAGTCTTAACTGAGCTATAATTGTCCTATCTTGAGATCTATAAAAAGTGGCATTCTCTTTGTGTTGCGAACTCACCCCAAAAGCCACATTCTGTCTTTTAAACAAATGTTACATCGGGATCCAATATGACCCTATTTTCATCAAATTTTTACGTTGAAATGTCACCAGCTATATAGAGAAGTCCAGATGCATTGCTTATAAGTAATAATTTCCTAATAGCAACAAACGGCATGTAGAATCTTTCTTGTTACGAGAAAGCCTATTAAACGATATATCAGTTGACATGTCTGACATGTGGGCCGGTTTTTTGGACACTGTTTTTAAGCCATGTTTGAGACCATGAGATTAGTGTGTCACTTTCATTACAGCTGATGCCACCAAGGATTTGCATCATAATCGCAGTGATGCTCTTGTTCAGTGTGAATGAAAAGTATTTTATTTTATTATTTTTAAATTGTCCAAATTTCTTTTGTAGTAATCTCTATTATCTTAGCTCTTGATGTTTGGATCAGCAAGTATTTTACAGTTAGCTTTTTTCTTACTGTTTTGAATCTTACTATTTCTCTGTTCTTGTAATTTATTGATGTGTTCTCATTAAATCATGGTTTTATTCCTTGTGCAGTTTGCAATTTCTTCTGCAATCATTACAGCATGCACAATGAGCAGTCTTTTCTTATACAGTGATAAATCACTGGTCTTCACCTACTTTTTTGTATTTGGTCTAAGTGCCGTGATGCTTTCTTTTCTGATATCTACATTTTTCTCGAGAGCAAAAACTGCTATTGCAGTTGGTACCCTCTCTTTTTTAGGGGCCTTCTTTCCTTATTACTCGGTTAACGATCCTGCGGTCCCTATGTTAGTATTTTTGCTGCATTTCTTGTGATTATTTTTCCGAGATGTGTTTACTTAATAGATGCTAAAGAAAATTCATTTCTTTTGGGTTCAGGATATGGAAGATTTTAGCTTCTTTGCTATCACCCACTGCTTTTGCTCTTGGCACAATCAATTTTGCTGACTATGAGCGTGCTCATGTTGGTGTTCGTTGGACCAATCTTTGGCAGGTTATCACTTATTCATAGTTCAATCTTAGCTTCAATTTTCAACAAATCTAATATCTCTGGAATGCAAAAACTGCAGTCCTCCTCTGGAGTTAATTTTTTGGCCTGCCTACTGATGATGATGCTTGATACATTTTTGTATTGTGGTCTGGGGCTATACTTTGATAAGGTAACAAATTTATACATTTTGAGTTTATGAAACAATAAACTTCTTTTGTAAGTGATTTGTATATATCTCTCCAAGTAGCATCAATATGTTACTTGCATTTGAACAAATCATAGTTACATTATGCCCTCGTAGCATAAAACGATTTTCCTCTCTATCAAATTTTACAGTCACCGAAATGCAGTATCATGTAGCTAATGCTTTGGTTGCATACGTTCAATTCTCTTTGAGATTAATTTTACTCCGGATCATGCGTGAAACAAGTTTTCAGTTAGATGCTAATATTCCTACCTATTCTGTAGTTTAATGATATTTTCTTGAAGGGAATGATCTAAAACCTAATGGGAGGTTTTACCGTTTTAATATTAGCTAAAGAACACTTATTTGAAGGGTTTATATTTGGAATAACTTCTGTAGCTTATTGGTAATTTCTACGACATCATTGTCCATCACATATGAGGCTTTTTCCTGGTCTTCTGAAAACCTTGTACAATCAGATTAGTCTCGACCCCTATAGAGATCATGTTTCTCATCTGGAAATTTTAGACAACTGCATCTTCCATTCAATCTAGGAGGGTGGTAGTCCAGCAGTTATTCGATGTTTTACTTGTTTGCAGAGGTGACTGTCGGGTAATGCTTGAATCTGCAAGCTAATCTATTTTAGCATTGTTCTTTTTGACTTCAGACTGGTTGCCCTTACTCAACCAAAGGAAAAAAAAACAAAAATCCCTGTAGTAAAATAAACCAACACCTCCACCAGAATTAAAATTAAAAAAACAGAAAGAAAATAATCCATGATAAATCGGGTGTCCACCATACTGAGATTCTATTATGTTAGGAAACATCTTGCTTTTTCTAGGAATTTTGTTAAATGTGTTCCTGGATTGCATTCAGTTTTGGCAATTTGAAGTTGCCTTTTCTACTGCTGCCTTGGCATTTTTTATTCGATTATCAGATTTCTAGCTTTGTGGATTCCTAAAATCAATGCTGTAAATATGTTCTAAAATCATGTCTACCATTGTGATGTGAAGTTCGCTTATATTGTAAAAGTGCATAAATATCGATGAACAATTTCCAAAGTCCCGTATTGGGAGTGGTTGTACCAGGTGAGTTTTCATTAGAGATGAATGGTGATGAGGGATTACATTCAGCTGTTGTCATACTGAAGGGTTTCATGGTTAGAGATATTACCTTTACATTATTATTATATGGAAAGCGTAAAGGCTATAGAAGCTATTGTGCCAGGGAAAAGGAACAGTTGGAGCATTACATGCTATATTGTCCACAGGTGTGAGTCCCCTACAAGCATTTTTCTTGGTCAAGATGTCCTGGGGTCTGGTTAACTTATTACATTTGGATGTTCCTGGAGTGTTTTTCTTCATCGAAGAGAAATGTTGGGGGTTTAATTCTTGGTAAAGGTACCCTTTCCATTTTAGTCACTAGCACAGAGCTGCTGAAGAACATGAGTGTTTGAGATATCAAAACAGTCTTAGGAAAAGGAACCAAGTACAGAGATAGGACCTATGACCTACTCGAGAATACCATATATGATTCTTAGGAAATTTTATTGCTTTGATATTTGACCCTAAGTGTGATGTGCCTCGTGCACACACTTTCATTATTATCAACTCTAAGCATGCCACTCATTTTTTGGGTTAAATGTCTTGAAGGGGTCCCTTGAATGTATTGTGCTCATCTGTATACTTATAAAAATCAACAACCTATGACCTACTTGATGATCAAAATTTATTGAGGCTGTCCTATTATTTTTCAGTTCTTATCTGCCAGCTACGCTACCCTAGGCTGCCGTATCCGTGTTCGTGTCATACACTTCCTTTGGACAATTCTTGAATGTATACATTCATTAATTCAGGCATGTACTCAATTATGTAACACATGTTTAATTTAAAAAACTCGTGATACACTTCTTGAATGTATATCATACACTTAACCTCAAATTGATGCAATTCGTTGGACTCGAGACAAGTTCGTTTTAGCATATCTTGAGTTCATAAGTATGATTTTAAAGAGTCGTTTGAGTATCTAGTTAAAAAATAGTCTACTAAATAAAAGAAACATAAAAATGATATAAGGATTTTAGTTCTCATAACATGTGAATGAAAAACAATATTGATCTCATATAGATTATTAATTTTAATATGTATCTATATAGCTGTATCCCTATATCTCAGCTTTATGATTTTGTAGTGTCTCGTATCCGCACCCGTGACCCACCTGTATCCATGGAGCATAATCTGCCTGTGTATAATAAAACAATTATTTGTAGCCTGAATTTGTTTGTGATAACAATTCTGTTGTTGTTTGTGTTACTGCTTTCAACTAAAGGAGAGATGGTTAACCACTTCTGAACCACTGCGCTTTTACGATGTGCTCACATCATTGATCTTTAGCATTTCCCTTCTTCATTTAGGTTCTTCCTAGAGATAGTGGCTTGCGCTATCCTTGGAACTTCTTATTTACTAAGACTTTCTGGGGAAGGAAGGATGTCTCCTGCAGTCATGACACAAAGCAAGAGCAGAAATTTTACAGGGAGGAAGTAGAACCCAGTGGGAAGGGTGCATTTGAACCAGTAAGTTTCGATATGAAACAGCAGGTGGTTGACAGAAGGTACGTGTACCTTGTGGTTTTCCATGCATACATTGTTTTGTTCCTTTGATTCACTATATTTCATTTTCTTTCAGATGTATCCAGATCAGAAATCTCCATAAGGTCTTTATGACAAAGAAGGGTAGCTGCTGTGCAGTCAACTTTCTTAATCTCACCATGTATGAAAATCAGATTCTTGCACTTCTAGGTATGCATCAATTTTAATTCCATATACCTTTTTGTTTATCGGTTGCCGAAACTTCTAAAACCCAGAAATACAACCACGTCTTCACACTTTGTATGTAAACAGAAAAGGGGTTCAGATAAATTATGGAGGTGAACAGAGTCTGATAGTTTTATTCCGAAAGAGGATGTATGCACATAATATTAGATTATATTAAAATGATTCGATTTATCTGATACACTGAAATATGCTGGTAACTGGAATCTGATATTAGAGGTTAACTTTATTTGGAGTAATTAGATCTATATATTACAGATCAATTCATTAAATTGAAAGGTACCAAGACTTGTTTCAATATATAAGGGGTCCAAACTAAGGAAGGGAAGGTACTTTCAAATAGCCATCGCCAGCTTTTTCCAGTTAAAAAAAATGCTCTCCCCAAGGATAAAACTTGCTTCAAGTCTTTTAGCATACTAGTATGGAGCATGTGCGCTGCACGTGTATCAGTTTTCATGTTTAATTTACTTACCATATGTAGAGTAATTTGTTATAGATCGGATTGAATAAAGTTTGGCCTTCAATGGTTCAATGTCTTCGGATAGTTGTTTGGGGGATAAACGTCTTTAGAAATTTATATCTATACTACATATAAAAGAGGATTGGGGTGCTAAAATTTTTGATTGCCCCTTTTACCCCTCTCAAATATGATGATTCCATCCTTACTTTAATTATTTTCTTTATTTGATTTTATCTCAAAGTATTCAATGAGTCTTAAATTAATTAAATGAAATTAATTACAAATCATCATAATGATAAGATTTAATTGGTTCTTAGGCTCTTAAAGACTCCATAACTTATTTAATTAACTGCATATTTTATGGATTCAATTAACATTCTTTCACTTTCTCTTTACATACCCTCTTTTTCATCTCTACACTATAAATTACGGCCATTCATTCTCTTTGATCAACCGCATTACTTACTAAGTCAAATTCGTACACCAACACAGTGGTTAATGAAATATGTTATATAGAAAGTTTGTCCAATGGTTTATAGTGTACATGGCTTGTATATGTATGCGCACATACATATATTGGATAATATTTGTCAAATAGTTTGCAGACCTAAAGATTTATTTTTTATGGAGTTAAAGACTATGTCTCATGTTCAATTCGTAGCTCTTGATTTGTGTTGTCTTTTGAATCCTTGAAAAAGAGAAGGAGAATAGATTATAGTAAAATTATTATTTGGAAGTCTTGATATTTAAGAGTATGTATAAATCTGATTTGGGAGCCAAAGATTGATTATAGTATGTGTTTTTTTTGAACTGTGGATTAGGTAAGATTCTTTTTGATCTTTTAATACTTAGAAAAAAATGTACGACCTTATTTTTGGAGTTTATGCAAAGCTATTTAAATATTTTTTCCTCCTTGCACAATGTTGTAAAGAGTGCTTTTTCTTTTGAATATAGGTCATAAGTTGTGCTTTCTTATTTATTAGTTGTATTTAGGATTTAATTTTTAACTAATTACTCGGTTCATATGCACTTTGTTCAGAGGTGCTATCAACTTATCCAACGCTTTCAATATTTCTTGTCCTTTTAATTTTCTTACCTCCATTAAGCATCTTTTATGGTCTTTCGTTAATAATTATGTTGAATCATAAAACTTTGTCTTCTTTTTTATTAACCACAAATAAGTTCTTTGTTCCTATAAACTTTAGCCTACTAAGATTAACTAATAAAATATGTTGGCTATATATCTTCTACTCATTGAGTAAACCAGAATACGCAAACTCAATGTGATATATTTGATTGAATTGCATAAAAATTTTGATTTCTTATATGAAATCCAGATTAATTTGTCTCTTAATTGAGATTCTTTAATTTGGATTAAAAAATTGACCTATACAATTCCTATGAACTGAGCTTTCAAATAATATCTTTATATCAGTTTGTGATTCTATCTTGGTATTATAGTTTTTGTAATTTTGTATCTAATAACAATTTTTGCTATTCAAACAAAATACTAGACATTTAATATTAATTTTTTATTAGCGGCCTTTGTAACTTTCGTCCATGATATATTGAGAATCAGTATACCGTAAGTAAATATTATATTGTAAGTACCGGGGGTGCAAAATGGTCCGGATATATCCGGACCGACCGAAAGCGTATCCGTTTAGAAAGCGGATATGGTAGGAAAAGATTAAAACCGGCCGGATATGGTTACGGTTACGGTCAAGGTTTTAAATATCGGTTATCGGGAATTTATCGGACGGCCAAAATTCTTATCGGATAGCGGAAATCGGGGATATATCGGGGATAAGTAGTATTTATCGGAGTGATATACTAGATGGTGTATATATATAATATAATAACTAAAAAATATAATCTAACCATGCTTAATGAAATATAAACATACCAAAATGTAAATCATCATGTTTAGAATCACTAACCAATTGTAGAAAGCAAAACTTGCATCTTGACCGCACAATGAAACCATTCGATTGCATAGCCTTACTTATCGGCCGATAATCCCGATAAAAAAACCTTACTTATCGGCCGATAAGTACCGATAACGCCGATAACTCCCCGATAACTTGCTAAAAACGATAACCGATAAAAATCCAAGTTATCCTATCGGAGAGCTCCCAAATCCGATAACTCGGCCGATAATATCGATTATCGGCCGATATTTAAAACAGTGGTTACAGTTACGGTTACGGTTTTGATTTTTCATCCGAATACGGTTTCAGATACGGTTGTCGGGTCAAAATTGCGGATATGATCCAGATATCTGGATATTTGAAATGGGCTAAGTAATTAAGTTGCTAATACTTGTATTGGGTTGGGTCTATAATATATACTCATGTTATCCACACTCGATCGGAATTCAAGTCAATGAAAAAAGTCCAGAGAGCAAATAAGAGTCGTTCTCGTTCCTCCAAGCTCTCATACGCTCTGTTCCTCCAAGCCACTTCCGCCTAACATACCAAAATGTAAATCATCATGTTTAGAATCACTAACCAATTGTAGAAAGCAAAACTTGCATCTTGACCGCACAATGAAACCATTCGATTGCATAGCCTTACTTATCGGCCGATAATCCCGATAAAAAAACCTTACTTATCGGCCGATAAGTACCGATAACGCCGATAACTCCCCGATAACTTGCTAAAAACGATAACCGATAAAAATCCAAGTTATCCTATCGGAGAGCTCCCAAATCCGATAACTCGGCCGATAATATCGATTATCGGCCGATATTTAAAACAGTGGTTACAGTTACGGTTACGGTTTTGATTTTTCATCCGAATACGGTTTCAGATACGGTTGTCGGGTCAAAATTGCGGATATGATCCAGATATCTGGATATTTGAAATGGGCTAAGTAATTAAGTTGCTAATACTTGTATTGGGTTGGGTCTATAATATATACTCATGTTATCCACACTCGATCGGAATTCAAGTCAATGAAAAAAGTCCAGAGAGCAAATAAGAGTCGTTCTCGTTCCTCCAAGCTCTCATACGCTCTGTTCCTCCAAGCCACTTCCGCCTCCGCCTCTGAGCTCCACCTCCGCTTCCGCCTCCGAGCTCCACCTCCGCTTCCGCCTCCGCCTCTGCATCGCCCTCTTCGCTACTTGATTGTTCAAGAAGTCTGCCTCGTCCTCTTGATCGATGACCATCAACGCCGACCTCCTCTTCTTCTCCGAAGATTCACTTCCTTAATTTCGTATATCGCTAAGATGAGCTCAAAACCCTAATTTGTTGATGCCCTAATTTTTTTGTTTGATAAAAGCCTAAATTTCTAGCCCTTTGTTGACTGAAGTAAAAAGCCCTAATTTGTTTGATAAAAAGCCTTAACTAATTAGCCCTAATTGTTTCCAGTTGCATATTTTTTCTAGCCCTAATTGTTTCCAGTTGCATATTTTTTCTATTATGATTGTAATTTGTATCATTATATTTTTGTTTGATTAAGTTTATAAATTTAAATGAATAGGTATTAGAATCATATCATCAAATCCATCAGTTCAAGCTTCTAACGAAGAACCCAGAGTCGAACCCCTCGTTGAACTGGTCATTAAACCCATAGTAGAAGAGTCTTCTAATAAAAAGGGAAAAAAATTAACTTCTGACGTATGATTAGACTTTGAGAAAATTGATGAACTTGAAAAGAATATAGTCGACGGGAAAGAAGTTAAAATAAAAATCAAGATAGCAAAATGTAAATATTGCTTGTTTGAATGCGATGGACGTAGTTCAACGGGTACTACACACATTAGAAATCACATTATGAAGTGCTCCAAAAAGAAGGGACCCGATATTCGTCAATAATTGGTTCAAGCTACTATAAAAAATGAAGAAGGGACTCGTACACTTAGTAATTATCATTTTGACAATGAGAATAGTCAAACTTTACTTGCAAAAGCTATCATTGTCCACGAGTACCCATTTAACTTAGTCACACATGACTCCTTTTTACAATATGCACATTCTCTTAGTCTAAGTCATAAGATTCCAAGTCGTGCACAAATCAAAAAGTTGTGTATGGAAGTTTATTGTGAATAAAAAAAATCTTTATTTGATTTGTTTGCCATATCTTCCATAAGATTGAGCTTGACAATGGGTAAATGGACATCATCTTCACAAAATTTGGCATTTTTGTGCATTACCGCTCACTATGTTGATGAATCTTGGAAACTTCAAAAACGTATAGTTGATTTTATTAAAGTCTATAGCTCCATCGGGAATGATATATGCAATGTGTTAATCACTCGTTTACTTGATTGGAAAATTGATATTAAAATTTTATCAATTACGGTAGATAATGATAAAGCTAATGATGTTGTCGTTAAAATTGGGAAAGAACGTCTTAAAAAAATATCTACCTTGTGGTGGAGTCTTTTTTCATGTGAGATGTGAAGCACATATTATAAATCTCATTGTTCAAGAGGGGCTTAAAATTATCAATAAAGCTATTAAAAAAGTAAGGCTTAGAATTAAATATGTTACATGTTTATCGA